AATGCAAGCCAGGTGAGATGGTGCATACCTGTAATCCAGCACTAAGGGAGATAGACGCAGGCAGATCTTTGTGAGTTTGAAGCCAGCCTGGTCTACAAAGTGAGCCCAGGACAGCTAAGGCTACACAGAGAAGCCCTGTCTCGAAAAAAACAAAAAAAATTGTACTGCATTTTGAGAGAGAGGAACTTATGTGTCGTTGTCAAAAATCAGTGTCAGCCCACAGCAACAGAGGAAACAATATTGGGATGCAGCATAAAACAAATGCCAAAACGATGATTAAGATTTCAAAGAAAACGATGGTCCCAGTTAATTGCTGGTTATGAAATTTCATCAGGAGACATGAAAGTTTCAAGAAGGAATCAAATATAGACACTGTATAAATCCAATATTTACCATATGCTTCTCAACAACTGGGGATGGGGGCACCTCACAGTTGATCAGATCTCTACTTTTTGATAAGCTGTCCTTTCAATAGTGGCTTACATCTGTTGCAAGAAGGAGCTTCTTTGTATGTAGAAAGAAATTATGGTTGTTTAGGAAAGTGGCAGCTGTAGGTGCTCCTCTAGGGACTATGATCACACCAGCCATAGAGAGTTAGCTAGGTGTATAGGACCAGGCATGAGTTGCCTCATAGTGAATGGACCTTAGATCCAATTACACAGCTGTTGATTGCCCCTACATTAATCATTCCTAGACTACTGATTATACTACATAATATACAACATGGATGACTCTGCCTCTGAACACTAACAGAAATGTATGTGAAGTTCCTAAGAGCCATTCACACTATGCCAGGACTGATGTCTCTGTTACTTCAGGAGAAGTCCTCCTTAGTAGAAACGGGGAACATAAATCCAAATGATGATAACTTACCAAGCTCTCTAAAGTCATTCTCTGATTTCTACACACAAGGCATGGCACTTAGAGGCCCTCCCTCTACACACACAATAAGTGCAAAAAGTAAAAAGCATAAGAAGGATGGCAAATAAATGGTCTAATAGTGTAATTCAGAGTCTTAGGTAAACCATAATGAGGAAACCCTAAATAGTATGTGGCAAGAAATAAAGATTGGGAAAAAGAACATGTTATCTATGTAAAAATAAGGGGAAAATATCATTCACAGTAGTTTAAAAATATTTTTTAGATATAAGAAACAAGGAGGGTACAATCCTTGTTAGTAAAAGTTTAAAGCACAAAGAATGAAATTGAAGAATACACCAGAAAATGGAGTGATCTGCCATGGGATTAGATTGGCAAAATTAATACTGTGAAAATGGCTATGATACAGAAATAAAACTGCAGATTCAACATAATCACCACCAATATTTCAACAAACTTTTCAAAGGACCAAATATTATTGCAAATTTATATTGGAAACACAAAAGACTCAGGTGGCCAAAGCAATCCTGAGCAGAAAGATCAAGGCTGGAATATCACAGTACCTGATCTCAAATTATTTAAGAACTACAGAAATAAAAATATCATGGAAATGTCACCAAATAGACTTAGCATAGAAGAGAGGACTCAGAAACAATCCCACCCAAATCTCTTGTCACTTAATTTTTTGTTTTTACAAAATTGCCAAAAACTCACACTGGGGTTTTCGGGGTGGGCTCTTTAGGAAATGTTGCTTGGAAAGCCAGATCCATATATCTAACCTGTACAATAATCAATTAAAAATGACCTTAGTGTGAGAACTAACCTTAAAATGGATAGATTAACACGTAGGTAAATGGCAACTTCAAGATACAGGTTCAGACAAGGACTTTGTGAAAAGAAAGTATCACAGGAAACAATCCCAGGATTTGACTAAAGAGATTATATGATTCTGAAAGCTTCTGCACAGCCAAAGAAACAATCATGCATGACAGCCTACAGAGTGAGAAAAAGCATTTACCAACTGTATATCAGACCAGGGGTTAGTATTTAGAAAACATAAATAACTGCTGAACAAAAAATAATTCTTATCAGTGAATGGACTAAAGAATGGAAGAAAGGTAAATGGCCAGTAAATATTTGAAGATATGTCCAACATCTTTAGTCGTCAGGGAAATGCAAGTTAAAATTGCTTTAGAATTCCTACTTGTCCCAGTCAGAATGCCTAACACCATCAAATCGATGGTGGTAAAGATGAGATGAAGTAAGACCCATATCTAGGGCTGGAAGTCTTGTAAACTAGTGTCACCACTATGAAAATAATTATGGTAGCTCCCTAAAAAACTGGAATACCATGAGACCCAGCTAATCCAGTCCTGGCTGTATAACCATAAGGTTCTCCCTGTTAACTACAGAGTTACTTGCACATCTGCGGGACTGCTTCACATTCTACAATAAATAGAAAATAGAAATAATTTAGATGTTCACCAAGAGATGAACTGACAAAGAAAATGTAATATATGCACACCAAAAAATGTTATTCAACCATAAAAATAAATTAGGATTTTTTAAAGGAAAAAAATGTGTAAACTGGAGAGCATTATATTTAATGAAATTAACCAGATTACAAAGACAAATATCACATGGAGTACTTGCTATTGAAGACACCATGTACTGTGGACACAGGACCAGGAAGAGCTGAGCTAGTTCTAACCCAAAAGCCTCCTCCCTGAGGACTAGCTTACATAGTATCAGAATATGCCATGGACTCTCCCAAGAGAGGAAAACAAGCAATATTCCTACCCAGCTATTATTCCTATGAACCACAATAATGGCCATTATAACACTAAGATAACACTAAGAATGCAATAGTGGTACACATACTTTGTTGCCAAACAACAGCTCTCTAGTTGGATGTAAGATGTTCTCAACAGGGAAGTCATGCCTGGTACTGGTAACCTGCAGCTAGTGAAGTCAGGAATCTTGCAAGTGAACCTATAACTACCACTTTACTATAATAGAGTTTCTACTCACATTATAAATATTTACCCCTATATTCACAGATAAGAAAGTATAGGTCATACTGTAAATGATCTTACATTTAGATGCAGCACTATCTCTTTTCTTTCTCTCCTCCCCCGACAGTGGATCATAGGAAAAGTAAGGTGTGAACGTGATGGTTAGCACCACTTATTTATTAGAATTTAGAATTTCACAGGAGAAAATCCTCTGGGGCCATCTGTGGAGATTTCGATTGTTTGATTTTTGTTTTTGGTTAGGTTAGGTTAACCTCTGGGTATGCCTGTGGGAAATCATCTTGATCAGGTTAACTGAGGTGGGAAGGCCTTCCCCTGTGGGTGACACTATTCCCTATGTTGGGTGGCATTAAAAAGGGAAAGCTATCTGAGTATCACCACGCACTGTTTATTCTCTGCTCTCTGATTGTGGGGGTGGTTTGACCTGAAAGGCTCTTGCTGTCTTGACTTCATTCATAATGAACTGCAGCCTTGTGAACCAGAATAAATCCTTTCTCCCTTACATAGCTTTTGCTAGAGTATTTTATCATAGTAACTGGAAAAGAAACTAACGGAAACAGAAGTTAATGGAATGTATGTGACATGAAACCAGAAAGGGGGTGAGGGTGGGGTGGCACTTGAGGAGAAAGGGGACCAATAAGAAAGGAGAAGGGAAACAAAGGAGGGTGCTGGAGAGAAGTACAGCTAAGAGTAGAGAGTATATTAACATATATGTAAGAAAATGCCATAATGCTGTCCATTATTTTGTGTGCTTAAGTATAATTTTTTTATTACTTTTTTTTTAATTTTATTTTTCTTTTTAGTTACATTTTGTTAACTCTGTGTCCCAGCTGTATCCCGCTCCCTCATTCCCTCCCCAACCCCACACTCCCTCCCTGGTCTCCTCCCTGCCCCTTTCCAAGTATAATTTTTTAAAAGTCTACAAAAATATAGAATAAAACATTTTAATATTTTACAAAAGCTGTGGAATTACCTCGACGGTTGTGCCCTACAAGCAAATCCTCTTTACAGGCTCAAGAGAACTGAAAATACAGATAAAGCAAGCAAGCTAAGAAGAAGAAGAAGAAGAAGAAGAAGAAGAAGAAGAAGAAGAAGAAGAAGAAGAAGAAGAAGAAGAAGAAGAAGAAGAAGAAGAAAAAGAACCAATAAAGTATGAGAAATCACATACATGGGAAGTTATAAATGCTACCTTATTTTTTTTTTCTCTAAGTTTTGGCAAAATACAAGTGGTTGATTGCTGACCTACACCTCGTATTTCGTATAATTTATAACGTGTGCATGTAACCATTACAGCAGAAGGACAGGACTGAGGAAATACAAACTCCCAAACTACCGTTAGAAAACTCTTACTGAATCACTCCAGTGGTAACATTAAGACTGCTGTAAACACAACACAAACCAGTCCAACAAAAGGAATTCCAAAGAGATAGAGGCAAGGAGCAGTAGGTATTCTGAAAGAAAGCTCTGCATCATCCTCCCCAACCCCCATCACCAAAACACAGCACCAAGGGTTCTGGCTGCAGTCACCTGGTCTGGAAATGCAGAACCCCTTGAATCCTGCTCTTTCTGCTGCAGCTCAGCTTCCGAGCGCATATGTGGTTGCTCTCCTCTATTTTGTCTGCCAAGCAATGCTTCACAGACATGCTGTGATCCTGAATTTACTTATTTTTTGATACTCTTATGTGACCACTATAGATATTTATATTCACAAGTTCAATTTCTTGGTCCCTCTAAACATTACATTTTGCTAAGACTCTGATGTCAGTTTCTTTACATTATGCTTGCAATAAAATACTGTTTCTTCATTTGAGAAAGCGTCCTTGGCAGTTATTACCAGCCGGAACATTATTAATCGTTTAATATATTCTGATAAATCCCGTGCGAAGGAAAATGGAAAATTCCAGAACTCCACTCCCGATTGCCTGCCCCATATAAACTCCTCCCAGACCACAGCAAGGCCAAGTTCTCATCAGCTTCATCAGGTATGTCTGTGTCCAATTGTGGTTCAGAGGTCAAAGAACATTTGAGTTTGCCCACCTCCTTCAGATTCCTTTGCAGGGCTGAACCACTTTAGTTTGATACAGTATTTGTGTTTGAGAGCAGCAATTAACAGAGTAACCAGTGTCCTCTTTCTAGAGTCAGAAACGGTGAGTAGGCCTGCTCTTGGCCCCACCTCACGCCAATCCCAGTCCCTCTCTTTCCCAGATCAAACTGGTTCCTCCAAGGCTGGATATTAAAACTGAGCAATAAGGCTGGGCGACCAGAGCAGCTGCTCCCCGCCGCCAGCAGATTAGCGGTTCTGAGCGCAGCCGGGGCTCCGCTGGCGCCCACAACTTGTTTTCCCCGCGCTTGGCTGGGGTTCAGGCCGCCAGCGCCCCACCCTGCAGGAAGCTCTCCCCGGGAGCCTCCCCCGCTGCCCCGCGTGGATCGGCCCGGCCCGTCGGAGCCTCCCGCCTTCCCCGGGCAGGGCAGCAGAGCGCGGTCGGCGGCGCCTGCAGCAGCGGGCGGTGAGCGGGGACTCGGGAACTGTGCAGGGCGCGGGAGGGCGCGGGACCGGTGACAGTGGAGGAGGCGGGGCAGCGCCCCAGGCTGGAGCTCAGCCGCAGGTGGTTGCGCAACTTTGGAGCGGTGGTGCGGAGCGGGGTTTCCCTGTCTTCGCGTCTGCTCGGTATCCTGGGGTCTTGACAGGGCAGTAGGACACCGGGTGAAGGTTCTATAGGAAGAGTCATTGGGCTCTGGTGACATGGACCCCTGAGGGTGCAGGCCTTTCTTGGGAGACCCTCTCCAAGCGTTTTCCTTTTGCATCAGTGGAAGCCAGTCCCCTCCTTGCCGCTCCGAGGGTCTCTCCACCATCCTCTGGCAGGTATAGATGTCTTTTCAGAAAACTTTGCAAGGTTTACTGGGCAGGGGCCGTGTGATAAGACACAGCCCGTTTCTCTAGTTATTTTACAGGGTACAATATTCGCCTTTTAGGACTGAGATGAATGTATATGCGCTTGAGATCCGCAGCGTGCTTGTGGTTTTATTTTGTATGGAGTATTTTAAGTGGAGGCAGTAACAGGCGTACATACGAAGACATTATGCAATAGGGTTGGTTTCCGAGATACTTCCAGGATACAGCTAATACTGTAGAAGTAAAAACCTAAGTTTCCTGCCCCTTGTCACAGGAAAATAGGGAAAGCAAGGCGTTAACCATTAAATTAGTCCACTGTGACAGTGTGTGAACCACTGACTTCACCAGGACAGTGGACATAAAGCTGGCATTTTATCCATCATGTAAGTACAAAGTTTAAATGTCCACAAGAAGCAACTAATATGCTTGTAGGGACAATAAACCTTTCCAGCTCAATTACACTTTGTAAGTCTCTTGAGGTTCAACTATAGGCAAACTGGGAAGTACAGTAAAAAGAGACTTTAATTTAGTATAAAATAACAAATAATGAAAAATAAAATTTAAAAGATGTGAAACTCTAGGAATTAAAATGATGCCACACAGAAGAATCCAATAAAATATATTTTCTTTGGTGAAAATTTCGTGTCCCTAAAACAATACACATTAAACAGAATCCTAACTGATACATTGTTTTAAACTGGCTATTTAGCTACCTTATTTGAAAGAATGGCAACACTGCAATATAAAAATACATGGCAGTTCTTTATTATATAAAAAAAAAAGTATTCAAAAGAATTAACAGACAGTTGAATGCTACCAGACATTACAGTGAAACTGAAGAAAGAGCTTTAAAGATAAAATAAGAACAGGTATTTAATAAATATACATTTGAAATCAGGGGAAGAAGGCCAGGGGATAATACTTAAATTGATTATGCTTGGACCAATTGGCATTTATTTGGGTAAACTAATAAGAAAACTGGAAACTTCCCTTGTGTTAATATAAAATGCACTCTAGATAGCTTTCCGATTTGAATCTAATTACATGAAACCTGAAAGTTTATGCACATGGCAAAAGGGAATCTGTAAAACCTGGGCCCATTAAGAACATGCTTATGAGCATAAGTATACAAAACCCAGATATGAACAAGGGACACTTACCTGAAAAAGAAAGATAATTTAACCACAACTTCCACAGTTCCGCAGTTGAACAGGAACTCAAGCAAATAATAAGCAAGATTTGCAGACACACTGATGATCAAATAAAAACACAATTAAAATACAACACCGACTTTTACTAGCCTAATTTTGAAAAACCTAATCTTTGTGATATTGCTGACACAGTAAGAGAAATGTATACTTATAAACTTCCAGTGAAAAAGTGAATGAGGAAAAATAAAGGTGTATCATGAAGAGATAGCTGTAAATGTCTTCATTCATTGCTTCTTGTTTGTAATTTGTCCGGTAACAGTACATGTCAAGGAGAAACTAAAAATCCCTGTGAAAGTCTGTCTCATAGATGTTCATGATAGCATTCTCTGCAATGCGGCAAACTCTGAAACTGTTTGGAAATCATCTTTTAGGACATGGCTGTTTAATTCATGCTGCAGCAGAAGATAGATGATACACAGTTCAGAGCACTAGACTTTGGGAAGGCCTAAGTGTCCTAACCTGAAAGTATGGCAAAGTTGTAGTTGCAAACATGAACAAGGATATGCAACAGTGTATGCACACAGTTACCGCTTGTCTCCATGCTGTAGCCTTTAAGAACACTTGGAGCAGAGAATGAGTTATTGTTACGTTGGATGTTCATATTCTCTTACATATTTCTGTATGCATGTTTATAGAGAAAATCAATGTTATAATAAGAAAAATAATAAAGTTACAGAGAGGATCTGTGATCTGTTATTCATGTATGTATTTCCTTTCCAGATAGAGTGGCTATCCTTTACTATAGAAAAAAAAAATGTTATCTTTCCTGAAGATTTTCATCTTATTTTCACTTTCATTTTTAAAGATCCTTTTAAGATACTGTCTTGGAAAACTACATTCTCATTCCTAAATATTGATGGTTATAATGTTTATTATAGACACAAAAGTATAAAATTTTGTGCACTTTCATAATCATTAACTTTTTTAAAAGAAGAAAATATAGGCTAGTTCATATTCCTTATATATTTCACTAGCACTTTGCTAAAACTCACCTTCAGAATACATTTGCTTCTGGATTTAATAGATAGATATGCTATTCTTTAAGAAGGAAAACATCTATTTGGAAAAAAAATTAAACCACTGAATGAGAAAAGTGGAACTTTGGGAAAAATCTTAACATAAAATGAAATTTTAATGACTTTCATATAAATGATAAAGAAAAGAAAACTAATAAATAGAAAATGACAAATGTGACATTTCCTGCAGTGGAGATTGTAAGGTTATGGGACAAAATTAATTAAATAAAGACGATTAAGCGTACGACAGATCTTATATATAAGAGGTTTATTAGGTGGATATGGAGAGAGAGAAGGGAGAGCAGGGAGAGCAGGGCATGATATAGGGAAAGAAAGAGAGAGAGAGGGAAAGAGAGAGAAGGGGGAAGAGAGAGGGGGCACCCCACAGAGAAAGGACCAAGAGAGTAAGAACCAAGAGAGTAAGAACCAAGAGAGTGACCACATGGTCCCTTTAAGGGGCAAGGTAACCACGCCTTCCAGGTGTGGCCACCTGGCCAGGGACACATGATGACATCATAAGTTGCTAGGCAACCCAGAACCAGGTTTGTTTCAAAATCCTAACAGAGATGTAAATGTCTTTCAGATGAAATTAGAGCTACTTACCCTCCTCCATTACAAGATATTTAGGAAATCAAGCCAAGTTTCCTTTTTCTGCCAGATGGACAATAACAAACACTGTGAAACCTGCTATGTCCATTTTTTGTCCCGTGTGTGAACTGATTTAAATTCTTTGGGTAGCAATTTAACAGTGTTTAAAATGCACAAATATTGTACCTGCTGGCCTAATTTCAGAAATTTAAAATGTTGATATACAGAGTTAGCTGTACAAGTTTGTTTTCAAATTGTGATAGCATAAATTATGGAATAATTTAAAAATTCACTGTTAAGCAGCCAGTCAGTCAAATATATTCTTCAATTATTAAATGAGAATAAGGATTTTAATAAGGCAAGATATGGAAGATTCCCGCTGTACTAAAAGATGAACATACCGTATATATTACACACACAAAAGCCACACAGAAGTATATATAGTCGGCATACAAAAAGTCCAATATATGTATATTATATATGTATGTATAAAGTCATTTATACGAGAAAGGGGGATGGGGAATTCTTTTTACTCTAACTACTTAACTGCTTGAGTAACTGTTTGCTTTCAGATAATGTGTGCTTTAAGAAGTCTCTTTAACAAGCATATCTTTTCAATGTGATCGAAAGTAAGCCACATGCCATTCTGTTTATCTAGCCAGATGAGGGCGGAGTCTTGACTTGGCAACATTCCTGATAGTGCACTAGGCTTGATCTTTATCAATGTAGTGAGAATATTTTTGTAAGCATTTTCTTTCTGAAAGCTAAAATGTAAATAACTAATTATCATTTTAAACAGTTTGTGCAGGTATAAAGTTAATTTTCTGTGGATTTGCTGCTCACCATGCTTCCATTTTAATCCACCCTTTACTTTGGAATGTGGTCCCGCATGCATCCCACAAGACCCAGAGGAAATAGTCAACTGTACAGTTTTTCTTTGGAATAATTTAAGTGTGAGTAAAATAAGGAATGTTTTAGGTTATAAATGCAATATATATATATATATATATTTTTTTTTTTCCAGTGTGCTCATTTGTTCATGAGAAGCAGCTTCTCTGGTTTCTTGTAGGGTTGAGTTTATGCAGTGAAGTTTTATGTTTGTCTTGCATATAGTCCTGATGGGTTTATCTGCATGACATATTTTACTGGCACCTCTCTCTTGACCATAAAAATCCCTATCTACACTATCTGCATTGGGCACTTTCTTAACGTCAGCCTGCACACCAGCACCTCTTCCATTGCAGCACTGTGCAATAGGCCTGGCTCGGTCCTTCAGTGTCCTTTATATTCAGCCCCTCCACTGCCTGTTCCTTCGTCATGAAAGAAACCCTTAAAACGAATCAATGCAGTCACATCACAGATGACAAAGAGCTGACTTAGGCTCTATGAAGAGAGGTATATGAGAGGGTATGCATTCGACTTTTATGTCGGGCAAACAT